ATTTCTTCAGCTCTACCCATAGTCTTTGTCTTGCTAAAAATGATGATTAAGAAGCTCACTAAATATTTCTGGATTTTTGTATCCAACCTTTTTAGAAAAAGACTTTTTTAGTCTCCAAGTTATTCCAGTTATTTGCCTGAGTATGCTAGAGCTGACCCTAACGTATGCTGCACTGATGGACAGAATAACTTATTTTTCCACATCAATTATTGTGCCTTAATTTTCTTGACCTCTTCACAGTGTTCCCTCTGGAAACTGACTCTTTCTCTAAAGTCTCCTCTTTGTGCCAGGGTAAATTATTCTTTCTGGAACTCTTGCCTGCTGCTGCTTCTGTTTCTGTTAAATTATACTAGTCTGTCCTTTCTTCTGAGTTTTCTGGGGCATCTCTGCATCTCTTCAGGATATGGCAACCACTAACAAATCACTTCTTTTTAAGGAAAGATGAGAAATCAAAGAAAAGAAAAAAAAAATGAAAAGGACCGACCCACTTCCTGCTCCGCCGGCTGCTGCTTTCCTTTTCATCGAGAGAAGAGATGAAACAGGGATGTGAACGAAACTCTGCAGCTCTTCTTTCCTTACGCTGATTGAGCTGCAAGCATGACGAGGTATTAAGCCAGTATAAATAGGCTGTAAATGGGGGTATAAAATAGCGAGGGTTCAGCTCAGTTTACATCACGTGTAGAGCAAATCAGATTTGCAGGCAGGACTTGAGTCGCTTTGTCTTCTGTGTAGGATGGTAAATAAGTTCCCAAGCCCTGCGCGTCCTCTCCCCTCCCTCCAAGGGTTCTTATGCTGTGGTTCGCCACCGCCTGCCCCTGTCCCCAGCTGCGACGGCAAAGGGCACGTTGGGAAGGCCGTGCAGAGCTGCATTTCCCTCTGTTTTCTCTTTGCAGTGGGTTTGGAAACTGAGGACAAAAGCACTTCTCTCCTTAGCTTTTCTGGGCCGACAGATGCCCTGGGCACAGAGCAGAGCCCGCTGCAAGCGCGCGGCAGCTTTGCTGGTAGTCACCGGTGCCATTTGCCTCCGGTCTCCAGCACGTGCCGCACATCCACGCCGGCAGCAGCGGGCATCTTGGCATTCTAGCAGAGCCAGGCTGTCCGTGAGGGCAGGGCCAGTGCCCCCAGCCTGGAGGGATTTTCTCAGCCACAGCCTTGTGAAGCTTCTTTCTGACATAGGCCTCAACGTTATGCTGTGCAGAGAAACGCGTGTGCTGCTCTGGAGTCAGGAAGGAGCAAGAAAGGTGACTTTGTCTCTCAGGGCTTTTCTCGAGCGAGGACAACGGTCATGCACGGACCTGTTTCCAGCGAGCGGATGGGAATTTTTCTGAAATGTGCCCCTATTTAGACACACCACATGGAGGGGGAGTGATGCCCCTGGCTAATCTGTCGCAAACGGATGACCAACTCAGAATTTAACCGCTGGGTTTGAAGTGTCCAAACTGAGCCCTTATTTCATTGTGGATACTGAGTAATTCAAGCAGATGATTTACTGCTTCTCCCACTCTCCTCTTTGCCAGGATTAAAAATCAAGAGGGGAATTAGAGCCTTTATCTCATTTATTACTCTTGAGCACTGAGAAGATTTTCTTCTGATCTGTTGGCACAAGGTGCATTGATAACATTCAGCAGAATTGAAATCATAGGGCTCAGACAAAATTCTTGTTTGCTGAATTAAAACACAAGCTACAGCCTTGGAGCTGTAGTGGGAGGGGGCTTTTCATGCTCCACCTGCTCTTGCAGCATTATTCTTCTTGCCATAAGCCAGAGCTGACTGGGCATTTGCTAGTGTGCCAGGCAGAGTGCCACTCCTCCACAGAGCTTTTATATTAAAAATTGTCTCCTGGTTGCAGTGGCAGTTCTTGTTCATTCTTCTGTGCCTCCTTGCCTCTGGGAGAGTGCAGATGTACTCATATGTCTTTATTTAATCAGCTGGATAAGTGCCAAATGGCTCCCAAGGTGAAAAACAAGGTGCTTTTATGCTCCTGGACATGTTTGCCTGTAGTGGAACAATGGTCCTGTCGTGTAATGAGCCGAGTCAGTGCAGGGAGAAAAGAAATTATAACCTACTTCAGAGTATCAGCCCTGCTATCCTTCTGCACACCGACATGTCCACCGAGCTCGGGCTGGCTCACATGTAACAGCCTTTTTGTGAGGCTGTGAAACAGGGGGTTTGGGTTTTATTGTATTCTGCACTCTCATCAGTGGAACAATGGTCCTGTCGTGTAATGAGCCGAGTCAGTGCAGGGAGAAAAGAAATTATAACCTACTTCAGAGTATCAGCCCTGCTATCCTTCTGCACACCGACATGTCCACCGAGCTCGGGCTGGCTCACATGTAACAGCCTTTTTGTGAGGCTGTGAAACAGGGGGTTTGGGTTTTATTGTATTCTGCACTCTCATCTGATTTTTTTTTTTCTTTTT